ATTATAAATATTATATTGCTTTAATTATAAATATTATATTGCCTTAATTATAAATATTAGTATTACACATATAAATTGCTTTAATTATAAATATTATATTGCCTTAATTATAAATGATATATTTTATAATTAGTAAACACATTAAAACTATAGATTAAAAAATAAATGTTTTTTTTAAACTGTAAATTTAAGTCGATATCCTTCAAAGTGAAAAAATCAAAATTGTGTTGGCAATATTTTTTTACCAATATATGATAGGTGTTTAAAATTAATATTGAGAAACCTAGGCTAATAATCATAGATGACATGTTAGCTTTGGAACCAACTTTTGATTATTATAAGTATAAAGTAATAGACTATTTTCAAAAACCTCTATATCAAACCATAAATATTACAAACCAATATCAAACCATAAATATTACAAACCATATCCCATAACACAAAACAAACCATAATTTCATAATAATAAGACTCAAATTTATTTTTTAAAAACATCAACAACAATCTCTATACATTAACATAAAAAAATATACCAAAATTTAATATAATTATTATCCATTTCTTCATCTCCCAAAGGTTCACAGCTGACATCTTATTCAATATTTTCCCATCTCCCACTAGGGGTTTTTCCTAACAATGAAATACACCCCGTGATTATCATCTCCTCTTCTTCCCCCAAGGAAAACTTAATTCCCCTGTCAGAAAATAACTGACATTTTATGTATTATATTAAATTTATTTCTTCTTTTTTCAACAATTACAACAACTATATCACTTGTAGTAGGTGATGGTTCTAAATGATCTAGTATAATTGGTTGTCTATTATCCTTTAGTTTTCTGGAGTATGTGGGAATTGCTAAGATTTTAAATAAATATAATTTAAATAAGACTAATACCTGACATGAGTGGAACTTCATTTCCATTTAAATTCTCCCTAGATTTTTTATATATCTAAAATTTTAATGTAAATATTAATAAGTAATTGATTACATTACATTTATTAGATAGTGATTTGTTGTGACTTAGTGTATTTTTTTGTTTGTTATCACTATTTTTTTTACCCCTTGGTGTGAATATTAATTGAGATATTCCTATAAAAATAAATTAAAATAAAACAACATATTAGATAACCTTTAAATTCTAAATTGATACAGCCTATAATATTTTGTTGACTACTATCATTCTTCTTCAATGTGATACTTGATATACCTAAAATTATGATATAAATATTTAAAGGTAATAGTTAACATTACTTTTACTAGGTAGAGATTTGAAGTGATCAAGTGTATTTAGCTTATTTTTATCATAATTTTTTATAGAGTATCTAGGTATTTCTAAAATTTAAATGAATACATTTAAATAAGGTCATATAAGTTCATAAAATACCTGAGGTGAGTGGTAAATTGTTGCTTATGGTATCAAGTTCATCATTAAAATTCTGATTTTCTATATTAATTGGTGATTCATTTAAATAAGGTCATTATAAAATACCTGATGTGGGTGGTAAATTGTTGCTTATGGTATCAAGTTCATCATTAAAATTTTGATTTTCTATATTAATTAGTGATTCATTTAAATAAGGTCATTATAAAATACCTGATGTGGGTGGTAAATTGTTGCTTATGATATCAAGTTCATCATTAAAATTTTGATTTTCTATATTAATTAGTGATTTGGTATGTTCATTTTGTTGACTATCATCATTTTTATTAAATGTAATACTTGATATATCTAAATCTATAATAAAAAATATTTAAATCTTAATAGATTATATTACTTGTACTAGGTAGTGATTTTATATGGTCTTTGGGTATATAAATGAGTGTATCAAGATCATTTTCTTCCCTCCTACGTTTGGGTATATCTTATAAATGTCAAAATATTTTGGTTAGCCAAAATTATTTAAAATAATAAATTACCCAAAGTGGTTTGTACTGGCAATTTTAATTTAGTTAAAACTATGACTAGGTGTTTAATTTTAAATTCTAAAATAAAAATAGTTAGCTATTAATTTTAAATATCTTTTATATTAAATGTTATTTTGACCTGGTGTATTTACATCATCCTTATTATTTTCAATAGAGCCTATAATGCATAAGATATTAATTAGTACACTGGATTAAATATTTTTTAACCTCGTGTATTTATATCATGCTTATCATTTTCAACAGGGCATAAATTGCATGAGATATTAGCTGGTAAATTTTTTTTGTTACTTAGTAAATATTTTCTAATGTCCATTTCCTTCAATCTTAAAGTTCGTAAATAGGAAATAACAATCTTTACTTTTTAGTCATAAATTTAATCTCTTTAATAATTTCATTTATAAAAATGCTACAAAATATAAACCAAATATATATTATTAGAAATAAAAGCAGAGAAAGTAGATTATGCACTATTTTCATATTATTATTTTCGAACCATATCTTCGATAAATTATAATAAATATTTTTTTAAATATGCATAAATAATATATTATTATATTTTATTAGATTATTATCAATGACTTTAAAATAATATACAGAATAATTTATATATATATATAAGTAATAATATCCTTCCACAAACATCAAAACCAGAAAAATATAAATATTCATGGTATTTATTTGATATAAAGTCACTTTTGAGTTTTTTGAACGAATAATCTAAAAAAATTGCTCTGAGGGGGGGGGGGGTAGATTATGCACTTTTTTATTTCATATTATTATTTTCGAACCATATCTTGGATAATTTATAATAAATATTTTTTTAAATATGCATAAATAATATATTATTATAATTTATTAGATTATTATCAATGACTTTAAAATAATATACAGAATAATTTATATATATATAAAAGTAATAATATCCTTCCACAAACATCAAAACCAGAAAAATATAAATATTCATGGTATTTATTTGATATAAAGTCACTTTTGAGTCTTTTGAACGAATAATCTAAAAAAAATTGCTCTGAGGGGGGGGGGGGGGTAGATTATGCACTTTTTTATTTCATATTATTATTTTCGAACCATATCTTGGATAATTTATAATAAATATTTTTTTAAATATGCATAAATAATATATTATTATAATTTATTAGATTATTATCAATGACTTTAAAATAATATACAGAATAATTTATATATATATAAAAGTAATAATATCCTTCCACAAACATCAAAACCAGAAAAATATAAATATTCATGGTATTTATTTGATATAAAGTCACTTTTGAGTCTTTTGAACGAATAATCTAAAAAAAATTGCTCTAAGGGGGGGGGGGGTAGATTATGCACTTTTTTATTTCATATTATTATTATCGAACCATATCTTGGATAATTTATAATAAATATTTTTTTAAAAATGCATCAATAATATATTATTAAAATTAATAGATTATTATCTATGACTTTAAAATAATATACAGAATAATTTATATATATATTTAAAATTAAAAGTAATAATATCCTTCCACAAACATCAAAACCAGAAAAATATAAATATTCATGGTATTTATTTGATATAAAGTCACTTTTGAGTCTTTTAAACGAATATTCTAAAAAAAAAATTAATTGCTCTGGGGGGGTCCAAACCCGAACCCCCCCCCCCCCCCCGTAGCCTACGCCACTGCTTGCTGGGTATGCTTGCTGGGTTGGCTTGCTGGGTTGGCTTGCTGGGTCGGTTGCTGGGTTGGCTTGCTGGGTTGGCTTGCTGGTTGGCTTGCTGGGTTGGCACATGTCTTTAAAAGATATTTTCTGATGTCCTCAACCCAGCAGGCCGACCCAGCAAGTATACCCAGCAGGCCGACCCAGTAAGCGAACCCAGCATGCTATCCCAGCAACCCATCCCAGCAAGCTAACCCACCAAGCCAACCCAGCAAGCCAACCCAGCAACCGACCCAGCAAGCCAACCCAGCAAGCCAACCCAGCAAGCCAACCCAGCAAGCCAACCCAGCAGGCCGACCCAGCAAGCATACCCAGCAGGCCGACCCAGTAAGCGAACCCAGCAAGCATTTTTTATTAGCTTAAATAATATTTACAAAAGGTAATAAATTTCTGAAGGGGGGGGGGTCCCTTGCCCCCCCCCCGGCTACGCTTATGTAAAATAGTATTCATTTAATAAATATTTAAACAGTCTTATTAATTTTTAAATAATAAAATTAATTCTATATATTACTTAATTGAATTATAAAAGAAATCGTTTAGGGGCAATAAAAAAATTTATTTTAGTTCAAGAGGTTAAAATTCCATTAAAAATTTTTTTTTTGCTTCTTGGGGCTATTCAGCCCCCTTCTCCCTAGTGACGCCACTGTTGTAATCATACGTAACTAATAATATCACACATGCACATCATTTTGTAAAAAGATCTAAAGATTTTGCAAAAACATTGAAAACAAATTCTTTCTCGACAGTGTTTTTGAATGACTAGATATACTAATGATATAATTATGATGAAAAATATTTTTTGTTTATTTATGGATTATATAAGAAATTGGCTTGCAATCTTCTTTAAATCTGCTACAAAGATGAGGATATACAAAACAATAGTTCGATAGTAACCAATTTAAAAATATATTATATCTATTTTAATCCATTAAATGGAACAAATTTGCATACAAATCCGTATTAATTACCTAAAAAGTAATTAAAAACCACATATCTCTCAATTCTAATTCGTAATTATTGACATAATATTGATATTCGTCATGCATAAATTATTAATTGTCAAATCAAATTAAATAAAATTGAATCTAATATAAATCTGTGAATATATTTGCACTTTATGTTTAATAAAACCTATTAAATCGCAAAATCATCTAACTTATTTAAAAATTAGCACTCTTTTTACAAGGATCAGGTTTTTTATGTTATATAATCTGCATTTTACTGCCCTAAGAGTTATTTGTGCTTTTATATACGCTAACAGGACAGGATAAGCAAAATGTTTTCTTAGACCAAAATAATGTTTAACACTAGGTTAATTAATATAATAAATTTCACCTATCCATATATTTTTTTTAACCCGCCTATAAAACTTCTAAAATTTTCCAACGATCAAACATCATCATGGACTTACAAGAAGATACGAAAATTGAAAATATTGAAGTTGAATTATCTGCTGAAATTGATATTGAAGGTTCCAATATTGGAAATGGACTGGAAATTGAAAAAATAAAGGCTGATACATCTGAAAATTATGATATAAACGAAAATCATTTTGAGAGTAATATATATTTACCATATTTTATAAAGCCAGATTCTTTGAGAGATGATGGTGATAAAAAGGATTATGTATCACAAATAGATGAAGCTACAGAACAAACTAAGGATGCTAATCCTAGTACTGGCAAAAATAAAAAAGAAAATTTTGAAGAAATATTAGTAAAATTATATAGATTAAATATATGTATTTTTTACAAATATTAAATATATTGTGTTAAAAGATTTTAACACCACATTATAATAAATTCTAGGAAGTTGATCGTGCAAAAAGATTTGGGTATTTGTTAAAACAAACTGAAATATTTTCCCACTTTATCACCATGGGTGGTGAATTTAGTACTCAAGTTTCGCCAATAAAAATTAAACCAGGAAGAATAAAAGGACCGGGAACCAAAGTTACCGAAAAGGCAAAATTATCTGCCATTGGGGAGTATACAACTTTATATATATTATGGTTGAAATATAACAGCAACTATATTAAATCTCAAAATTATCCTTGAAGTTTTTTATTTAGAAGAGTTTTCTAATATAACTCATATAATTTAGTGAGAATTATTAAGATTTAAAGTTAGAATTTTAATCTGTAATTAATTAGGGTTGTGCTAATCTACAAAATTTTCACCTATGACAAATACCGAGCTTTAAGCTATTGTTCAACAGAAAATTTATATTTCTCATGGCCAAGGCAGTATTTGGTGCATCATTTTGAATGATTAGTGTATTTTTATTTATTCCTCAAAAATTAATAATCATTTAAAATATGGGCAATTTTTATAGTTTTTAAATATTTCTTCATCCTTTTCTTGCCACATAACAAAAAGGTAATTATTATCTTATCTATTATTTTTAAATTTTACATACAAATAAATTGTATTTAGGTTTCTTTTCTTCATTCTTTATTATTAGGAACTCATGTATAAAATATAATATATGCATAATCATCAAATAAATGTAAATTATATTAACCAATCAGAGTGGTTTTTTTGAAAAATATGGACCTAATCTTTTTTTTAAACAAAAAATCACTTCCAATCTGACATTTAATGTTGGCACAGCCCTACAATCATTTTTATCACTGTGAATTATATCAATGAAGTTATAAAAATTAAAAAGGTAGTTCTATTTTTTATTTGTCAAATAGTTAAATATTTTTATGTTTGATTATTTTTTTTAAATAATATTTCTAGTAATTGTTTCCTATAAACACCCCCCCCCCCTCCTCTTCTTAATTTTATATATTTCAAATCAATTTATGTTTATAGTCATAGGCATCGAATGACCGAACAAGAAGAAGATGAGGAACTCTTATCAGAAACAAAAAAATCACAAAAATCAATTGTTACACGTTTTGAGGCATCCCCTTCATGTAAAATCACAATTCAAAAAATTTATAACAAAACAAATTTATTTTGACAAAATTTTGTTCATTATACATAGTAGGCTGCAGATATTAAATATTGAATAGGATTGACATGTATATATATAACCTTTTCAAAAATATATTGTACCGGGCAATATTTGTTTAAAAACCCATCTGGTTTTTTTATTACTTTCGTTAGAGATGTACTGATATTTTTATTGGATAGGATGGCCAATATTTTGTCTTTTAAATAATATCAGTTATCAGTGGGGTTGGCCAATAAAAATTTGATTTAAATTATCCCAATTTTTTTAAAAAAAATTAATGATTTTAAATCAATATTTTGAATTAAATTTTATTTACTAAATTTGAGCAAAATATTTTAGATGGAAATATGAAGACTTATAGTATTTTAGAATTTAATAATTTTTATATAAACTACTAAATTGTTTAATAATCAATATTTATTGTATATAAAAAAATACTTGATTTATTTTGTATTTCATATTTCAATTTTTGACATAATTAATTGTATATTGTATTATTCTAAAAAAATTAGTTTGTTAAATTCAGGGCTCTAAAGCCTCCATCTTAAAAAAGGGTTCTGGTCTAATGAAATATCTCTGAAGCCAGTTCAGGGTTTACAGTCCAGAAAATTAAAGATATATAAAATTTAATAAAAATATCAGAAAATTCAATTTTTTAAAACTTATTTTATCATAAAAATAATTTAATAATAATAATTGGGTAATTCCATGACAAATTGACAGTGAATCCGCCCCGACCATCTCAAAAATGAATGAAAATAATAAAATCAAAATTTTAGAGTGCTAGCTCAATCAGATTCAAAGATATACCCCTTCAAAATCAAAAATCGCGAAGTGCATGATTTCATTAAATCTTGTTTTTAAAAAAAATACTTAATATAGAGTTACAAATTATATATCATTTTATAGCCCTTAAAATATTACATTGGAAAATATCAAAAAAAATTTAAAAAATTCCAAGTGTTATCTTATTTCCGATAAAAATAAAAAATTAACATTGTTAGGAAGGGATTGTTTTTGGGTTTTGATATTCTCTAAAAATGTTTATTACCTTTATATTAAACTATTTAGTAAAAAATCTCTATAGCCATTTTTGTTTTTTTAATTTTATTTAAATTTTCATTATTTTTATAAATAAAATAGGTAATATAGATGGCGTTATATTAAAAAGATTTATAATATATTGGTTTTAAAATTAAATAAATCGATTAAATATTACCAATATGATATCCTGCGACAATAAGTAAGGAAGCAACCCATACGGATATGGTTATTAGGACAATATATTTTTAAAATAAACATATTTAAAAATTTTATATACAAATAATTATAAAAAAAACACTTGTTTTAATATTATCCCATTTTGTGCTATGGCAATAATTTGAAGGTACATCCTGTTTTTATAAGATCTATAATCGTTTTATTTGATTAATGGGCAATTATATCTTTTCCTCAATTATGGGGTAAAAGGATGGTGATGGTTCATGGGGTGTAAAAAGGAAATATATATCTCCACAGTAATTTCATTCTTTTTTAGTACTGTGGCTAACCACCAAAAATCGTCATAAACACATGTTACAAATCCTTTAATATCAGCAAAGAGAAATTATAGGCATTCGAGATATTGTTAATTTGAAAGTCCTCTTCATATGAATATTTTGATTTAAGCTTACTTTAACTCAAAGGAAATACAGCATGTATTTCCCGAGTTCCTGGAATGGGGCAAGCCAAATTGAATCTTTCAAATAGTTTAATCTCTTCTAAATTGTATTGTTTAATGGTTATATATGTAAAATTTACTATGGCGTGTTTTGTTTTGCAAACTGATATAAATCATCTTGTGTTAAAATGTGTCCAGAACTGGTGCGCTGAAGGCTTGAACGTGCTGCTAATCTTTTAATGTTCTGCCAAGGCTGCCATATAGACCTTTTTCATGGGATGTAGTTGAAAAATGGGATTTCGCTGCTAAACCAAAATTTGATTCAATAACACAGATTTATAAAAAATTTTGTTTTATATTGCACAGCCATTACGTCAAAGCAGTAATATATTTTACTTGGCTTTTTGCTCAATTGATTCATCAAAAAAATAACGATAGTATAAACACAACAAATGAAAGGATATATCTACTAATTATATCCTAAGGAATTTCTATTAATAAGCGCAAAATGGAATACAATAAAAATAAGAGATATGTTTTTATAAAATTTTAAAATGTTTATTTTACAATATAGCGTTTTAATAATAATCATATTATATGGGCTGCTTCCTTACTTATTGCCCAGGACATCATATTTCTTATAATTAATCGATTTTTAAAATTTTAATACCAATATAATACATATTTTTATTAAAAATATAATATTATAATGAATTTTCAATATAACGCCATCTATATTATCTTTTTTTAACTATATAAATAATAAAAATTTAAATAAAATTAAAAAAACAAAAATGGCTATCGAGATTTTTTATTAAATCGTTTAATAAAAAGGTAATAAACAATTTTTAGAGAATATCAACACCCCAAAAAAATTTCTTCCTAACAATGTTAATTTTTTATATTTACCGGAAATTACTTGGAATTTTTTGATATTTTCCAATGTAAAATTTTAAGGGCTATAAAATGATATATAATTTGTAATTCTATCTTAAGTATTTTTTAAAAAAAACAAGATTTAATTAAATCAGGCACTTCGCGATTTTCGACTTTGAAGGCGTATATCTTTGGATCTGATTGAGCTAGCACTCTAAAATTTTGATTTTATTAACATTTACAACATAAATAACTAACATGCCAAGTTTCGTTCATTTTAAAGATGATCGTCCGAAAATCTCGTTTTTTTGGTCGATTTGACTGGAATGACGGAATTAGAATAATACAATACACAATCTAAAAAATAATATTTTAATTTTATTTGTTTTTTAAAATTTTATAAGAGAATAATCATGATATCTTACAAAATTTAGATGATAAAATTAAAAAACCAATTTTTTATGCTTAACTTTGACCATGAATTACAACTTTTCATGTACTCGACATTGATATTTGAATTTAAAAAAATGCTTAAGTGATTCCTTGTTTGAAATACACTTGATATGATGAAAATACTCTCTATTGAAGCTTTTGATTGTTTAATATGTATTAAATGGTTCTGCTAATTATTATTCATTTTTTTCACTATTATTTCATCTGAAAACATAGTTTTATTAAATGGGTTATATTTAACTTGGAATTTTACCTTGATTGATAGATAAGAGATTGGTTGAAGATATAAAGTTAGCTATGTTCCATTTCCACTTCAGTTTTATTGTTTTGAAATATATTTTGAGGTTGATAGGCAGAGTTGTTAACGCTCCTTTTTAAAAGTAGCAAGCTCCCGCTCCCGCCTTCTCAAAAGGAGCTAGCTCCCACTCCCGCTACTACATTTTTAAAAGGAGCTAGCTCCCGCTCCAATTATTGGAGTGCCACTTCATAAACGCTCCTTTAATTTTCATTTTTTTAGAAGGTATACAAAACAAGATCATATTTTTTTTTATCAAAAAGCTTTATTTATATTAATAATCTATCAAAATTAACTTTTAAAAGTAATAAATTTTCTAAATTAGAATCTAACAAACATCTACGCCTCTCCCCTAAGACCTGTTTTGCAATACTAAATAGGCACTCCACACGAGCACTAGAGGGAAGGGGGGTATTGTATTTTATAAAGATATTTAATTCAGGGAATTTATCAAAAATAGTAATTTTGGTATTATTATTTAAAAAATATTTGTCCAATATATTATCTTCCTGAGGATCAATTTCATGGAATCCAAAATAATCTTCCAAATCAATTTTTATTCAAAAGAAAGATTTGAAGCTGCTCACTTTTGAAAATTAAATAGTTTTATTTAAACACAAAAGACATTTTGCCCTTAAATTTGTTTGATCATTTGGATTAACATCTTTTAGAAGTTTAAAATATTTTTTGTATGATGAAAATGGAAATTAGATTTCTTCATCTATGATCTCTAAATCCATAATATCTAAACTATTTTTTATTATATATCTATAAAATGAATATTAATATGACTTACAAGATTTTCCAAAAAATTTTCAATATTAAAAGGAATACTTGATGTTTAATATTTAAAATATAAAACTCGGCTAAACATTTAATAATGGATAAATTTAAATTAAATTTCATTTTTATTGAATTTTAATTAATAAATATTATTAATATTTAAAAAATAATTTTATTTATTCATTAAATTTAAAGGAGCGGTGGAGCGGCGCTCCTCCAATCCAGCCCTAAAAGGAGCTAGCTCCCGCTCCCCAATTTTAAAAAGTTAAAAAAAAAATTATGATGTATGATATTTTTTAATCTAAATTCGTAACCTCTCTAACTGAAATAATAGTATTTGGTTTAAATCGCAATTTAAATCAAAAAAATCAATTTTGCCAATAAATGGGATTTTAATTTTAAAAAATTTATATTAAATTTCAAAATATATTTGTTTATTACTTATTATGTAAATAGATTAATATTATTATATAAATAAGTGATTTATCAATAAAGATATTTTATACACTTTAAGATTCATAATATAAACTATAACTACCATTATAATATATTTAAACCAATGGTATAGTTAAATTATAGATGTTACATTATTAAAAAGTCTGAGATGAGTAGATAATATAGTGATGCAAAATCGCTCCGTTTGAACCGATTTTAGATACGGCTAACTCAATATTTTAGGCCGAAAAATATTGCATAAGCCTCGAGATTTCATTAGAGCAAAATTGTATAATATTTTTCCGGATAAAATACTGAGTTAGCCGTTTTTAAAAATCTTCTCATATAGAGCGATTTCTAGGCATATACATTAAAATTAAAACGAGTAGTATATTTTCAGAATACAAAATCATATATGATATCCGATCGGTAATCAGCTGATATCAATTTAATATCG